TTATTACTAGATGATAATAATCATGATATAAACTTAAAGAATTTGCGAACAACTTGAATAAATGAATTAGCGAACACAATATTGTCATTGATATTTATAGAGTTTATAGAATTTGTTAAGTAATTCAAAAAAATATTTTTCACACAAAGGAGTTACAAATAAAGTAGAGAAACAATAAGTTAGCTGTCCATTGCGAAATATGCAAATGGACAAAAAAAGAGTAGAAAATCTCTAAAACTGCCTCCATTTGCATAGATATAGATCCGATTCAAAATGTCATGATCACTTAAAAACTCTGTTGAAAATACTTATTATACAACTTCATATCATAGTGGAATAACTATTAATCCTTTTTAAGTAAATTGCAGAGGTAATTTATCAATGGTGCACATAAAAATTCTTCACTCGACATCAAAACTTTTTATGGGTCTTTTTTTTTATTTTTTATAATCCAGGGACACAGACTTAGAGACTGGTTACCTAAAGGCTTATGAAACACTTGTGAGCCCCATGACCCAGCTAAGTCCAAACTTTTGACCTGTGCATATGGCCCCAACCTAGAGTAATTTTTTTATGGGCCTTATTTGGAAAATAGTTCAAGTCGGCTCGATTAGATGAACTTATATCATTTCTTTATAAAGTAATGTTGCAAAGAAAATTTAGAAAACCTGTCTAAATATAATAATTAGGTACAGTAGGTAGATATATGTGATTTGTATACCAAATCTTGTACAAAGGAATATCACATACTGTGATCATGTTTTAATTAAGCGAGTCCTATCCCAACACCCAACAATATTCGCTACCACATCACTTTTAACATCAAGTCTGCATTATCAGTCAGTATACTAAATTCCCTCACTTTAATTCTTCTGATAAGAAGTGGCAGCAATACTCACCTTGGAAAGAAAACTCGTCATGTCATTATCGTCATCACCTATGTCTTCGGAACCACCAGATTCGTAAACTCCTTCAGGTCTTGTCTTCAATTTGAAACATTTGCTAATCCTTAATTGAGAAAGATGAAGCATGGCTCCTTCAGCGACCCTCCACTTCTCCAAATTTTGCAGATTATCAAGAACTAAATACTTGAGTTGAGGAAACCCTCCGGCAGAGCAAACCATTTCCTTTCCCATAAAAGCAGTCTCCAATACGAGAACAGCCAAGTGATGCAATTTCTCCAATATTGGCATAGGATCTTCTTCGAGCCGGGACTTCATTGAGATCAGCTTCCTCAGCTGCTGGGATAGATTTTTATGTTCTGGTAACTTCTCTATTATTCCTTTCATCGATAGTTTACAGGAATATGGATAGGTTGACATTTTACTCAATTTACCTTCAATGAATGTACCATAGCTTGTGAATCTAAAATATGAGGGTCGGAGATGTTTCAAAGTGAATTTAGCAAGTTGTGGAATTATCTTGAACTCGTCCCAAACGAACTGGTTGCAGACAATTAGTTTTCGCAGATTGGTTTGTTTACCTACATCGATCACATCACAGTTCTTTAGATTAAAGTTTCTCAATGTCCGTAGATTTTTTAAAGAGTCCAATCGCAACTTCTTCAAGTCATCGACGGCAAAATAGATGGGAAGATGGAGATGCCTCAACCTTCTCATCTTCCACAACACATTTGGCAAGGTTACCTCAACTAAATCTATTACTCGTAGGTCCAAGAATTCCATGCATACTAGGTTCCCCGTAGATTTCGGCAAGCCCTTGAACACACTTCCTCCTAAACTTAAGCATCTTAGAAGGACTATGTCTCCCACTGAGTCGGTCAAAATTCCTCTCTTACTATGAATGCCCTCCGGTTCCAGAACTCTAAGAAACTTACATTTAATGAAAATAGGTTGAAATTGCTCCGACATCCCTCCGACATATCCGAAGAACATGAGAGTTCGAAGGTGGAACATAGTCTTTCCTATTGGTTTTACGCTCGGAATCATGTTTCCTTCAGCAGTCATGTGCATATTGAGAGAAAGCCTTCGTGTTTTGCAAGTTGACTTTATTGCCATAGAAGAAGAAAAATCATCCATCTCATTGTCCTCTTGAATGTTAAGAATGCTTAGAAAACTCTCTTGCGTAGCCTTAGAGACGCATAAGTCTCGCATCAGGTTATGGAGGTGGCAGGTTTTGATTTTTCCACTCAAGTTGAATCATACTTGAACCATTCCCCTGTTAACCAAATCCATTAAATATTGCTTTGCTACATCTTCCACTTGAATTTCTCTCTCTTCATCATATGCATTCAACGACACAAAGCCTTCAGCAATCCACAAGTGAAGAACCTTTGTTGCAGGGATTTTTGCATCATCCGAAAAGCTACCCAAATATAAGAAGCATGGTTTTAGATGCCATGGTAGATCTTCATAGCTTAAGACCAACACCTTTGATACATCACTCTTATCACTAAAATGCGAATTGATATTTTTGTAAACCGTCTCCCACTCATTGACCGCCAGAAGTCCACCAAGCATGGTGACGGCCAAGGGTAATCCTGCACACTTCTTAAGGAGTTCATCTCCTACCCTCTTCATATCTTCAGTGATTATTACACAATAGCAGGAAACAAATTGCAACTCAGTAATCACAGGAAGACACAACTATCATGAGAAAATAACTTCGAGGAAGAATATCTAATTATAGATATATAAGAAAGATGCTATAGTTCTTTATAATCTATGGTTCATTTATGCTTTTATAAGGGGAAAGGCTATAGGGACCACAACAAAGCTCCTATACATGCCTTCATCTACGCTTGAAATATCAAGAACCCTAAATTAACAAATGTAATGTATTGTCTTTGTTTTTTGTGGTCGGCTAGGGCGTTACGAGCCCTTGCGGGTAACTGCGAGGGCCATATAGAGGGCAATCGAGCACTTGCCCAGGGGTTGGCGGCCCCGCTAGCATATTGAAGGAAAAAAGAAAAGAAAAGAATAAAAAATAAATAAAAAATAGATAAAATTTCAAAAACTTTTAAAAAAAATTAAAAAACTGTCTCCGTTAGCGTCGGTCACATCATATAGGACAGTCGGTGCTGACTAAACCACCACATCAACAAACTTTGACCAAACTTAGCCGAAAGGACTACATAGGCAATTCATTTAATGGTTTAGGATTAACATGGCAAAATCTCAAAAGATATATGACTAAATTGATATAATTGAAAGGTTTATGAATGAATTGACAAATTGTCAAAAGGTTTAGGACAGAACTGGCATAATTAAAAGATTTAGGACTTAATTAGCTGCCGTACAATAGGTTTATGACTTTTTGGACAATTTCCCTCTCTTTCCCCCTATATCAAAGCTTTGATGCCTAATACTCCATATATCAGTCATTCGTAGTAACTATCGATTCATAAATTGTTAAACCTTCTAAACGGCCAAACTGAGCAATGAACTACCTCGTATTTGTACCATTGTCTCTGACTATAATAACCTCTTGAAGCAATATAATCTCTCAAAGCTACTGTATCTTAGGATAATAACCTTAAAAAAAGCCTTACCTTTTGTTTCAGGGAACACCCTCTTCTTCAGCAAATCCCAGCTCTCCAGGTTTGATAAGCACTGAAGTTTATGGAAAAGACCATGAGGATCGATATACTCCGCTACGTCTTTGTTGCGGGTCGTTATCAATAGCTTGCTTCTTGTGTTCTCGACTGGGAATGCGGCTTGAAGATTGTCCCATGCCTCTTGGGTCCAAATATAATCAAGAACCCTGATACATCTCCTCTTGTTGGATCTTATATAGAGTATCAAACAATTCGTCATCTCTCATGTGCATAACGCCCTCTCTTTGGTCAGGGATCAACTCAACAAGAATACCCGTCAAGATATCTTTCACGTGGTATTCTTGAGGTTGAGATACACAAGCCCAAATGAAACCATTGAAATTGTTCTTCGTTTCATTATGAGCGAAGACTTTCTTAGCAAGTCTGGTTTTACCCAAATTACCCATTCCCTATGTAGAGATAACTCCGTGCTGTTTTCCATCCTTCGACAGCTCAATTACCAACACCTTAACACTATCTTCGCTCCCAACAAAATCCTCCTTGAAATGGGGATAAGTCGGTTTCAGCGTGGAAGCTCTCGTGCGTTTGTGTTTGCCCTCATTCACCATTTGTATGCCATAAGCCTGCATACTCGTTCTCATATTGGAGATGCTGGATTTTAAGCCATCGATCTCTATCCCCACCATACGAACCTGCAAGCACATGCACTTTGCCACGAAGCCACCATACGCTTTGACGATGTTAAGTTCCTTCTTTGGCGCAACTCCGAGGATGTATTGCTCGATGACGTCCTCGGCATCATAGGCAATGTCTCGGAGTTGGGCGACCCATTCTCCGACAGCTCGGTCGTGCTCACATCTCGCGTCCGCATCCCTTAGCAAGCTCTGGATCAGGTTCAGCTCCCTTAGCAAGTCCTCAACCTGGCCCTCCACGCCCCACAAGAATTTGGCCTCGTCGATGAGCAGCTTTCCTATTGTCGGCCCCACGGACGAAATAACTGGCTCGGCCATTGGTATTGCACTGCTTGACGGTGATTAGTGGAACTTACGATAGAGAATGACTTGACAAATTCACTTCCAATGCGTTAACAAGCCGAGAACATAAAGGCCCTCGAGTTGCAAAGAAGAGAGGAAAGGAATAAGTACCTTAGAAAGTTACATATTGCATTGATAATCACATATTCTATATCCACCGACGCAAGAAAATCGCACCAACAGAATTTAATCAAAACTTCTTGAAAGGGTAAAGAATTTGCTCGACAGCAATCACGAATCCGATGCTTTCTTGTCTTTGAATGTTATGGCAGAAAATGCGGAACAATCGGGAGGGCCGGGGGTGAGGACGCGTGAGCGAGAGCAGGCTTCTGCAACCTGCGCATAGCACATGGCATCCGCAATATCTTGTAAAATAAATATAAAATAGGATACGTTCAGGCCGGAAAAAGAAAAAAAGGAAAAAAAAAAAAAGCGTAACAAAAGCACCGTCGTCGTCAGTCGGTCTTCCTAGAGAGGCTCTTAAGCTCGTTTCGCGCTCATATTTAATGATTCATCTCCCGCCACGACGACTATATAAGCTCTCAGAAGCGGTATCACTCACTCTCGCAGCAATCACTCGCAGCTCTCGAAATCCCTAGAAGTTCTTCTTCTTCTTCTTCTTCATCTTCATCTTCATCCCCCAAATGCTGCAGCAACCGCCATGGATGAAGCTCCGGCGAAGTGGAACGTCACCTTCACGAAGCACCTCAAGCAGAAGCGCAAGGTCTACCGCGACGGCTTCCTCTCTCTCCACTCCTCCGCCGGCAAGGTGCGTTGCCGGCCTCTCGCTTACTGATCTCCGCCATTCATGTCCCAGCTCAACTCGAATCGGAAAATTTTAGTTAGCTTCGATTGGGCTCGGACACTCTCGAGTTTGATTGGCTAGTCTATGTCGAAAATGCAGCGGCAATCGATTTGCCACCGTCTTTTCCCCGAATTTAGGTCGCTCGATTGAGCTGAATAGCATCCTTTCGGATTTCGATTTCGACTGTCATCGCGGGATTGTTCTGTTCTGGGCTTTTGGTCGTTGTACTCTCCGGGATCGAGCTTGTTCTGAGTAGATTAGGTCATTCCGTGATTGATGGTCGGATGTTTTGACAGGTAATGCTGTATGATGACAGCGAGCAGCTGTTGGAATGCAGGATTTTGAAGAATGATGAAGTTGTTAGCTCCGGTGAGACACTGACGTTCAACGCTTATTTGGTTGATGTTGGAGAGCCTGAAGGAGGGCAAAAGCCTCCCGATGATACTTACACTCGCAGCCGAGAAAATAAAGTTCTTAAGCAAACAAATTTGCTTCACAGAAAGAAGTTCGTCAACATATCTGATTGCGCCGGTATTGTCTGTTCTTACATATTTGTCTTTCTTAATGCTGGTGTCTCCATTGGTTTGACATTTGACGACTCATACTTGTACATTCGCAATGTTGTGCTCATCATCTACCTCTATTATATAATCCACTTTGCTGTCTTTTAAGGAGATGAGAAGACCAAAGTGGAGAAGGATAAACAGCAGGCAATCGGCCTAAGCCCATCGCAGAAAATTATTAGAGGTTGGCGATGATATCCTACATAATCTCTCTTTCAACTGCAAGTAAATGCTGGGTACAAAACTTAGCATGAGGTTTCTTTTGTTTTTTGATTTCCAGAATTCAAGAAGAATGAAATGAACAAGTACGGTATATTGCAGGCGAGTCCGAACTCAAGGACTTCGAGTATGGCAGGTGAGTTTGGACTTTTGCTGACTCATATTTGCCCATGCCAGGCCGTGTCTTTCTCTAGATGTATCTCCTGGATTGTGAATCCGTTCTTGATTTTCTTTGGGGTACAGTTTCTGCACATCTTTATACTACATACAGAATCTTTTCAAGGTCAACTCTCAACTCTGATGCTTTTTATATCAAATCTTCTCAACCACAGCGGTTTCATATATTTTCATGGCTTTTCTGAAAATCATTGGAGCTTCTTAGGATATATTCAAACTTCCCTTAGAAAACTGGTCTCGATATTCTCTATGCAGTTATATTCAAAAGTTTGTTATTGTTGTCTCAGCACTGCAGTTGACATGATATTCCTTTTGATATAGATTGGCACACCTTGTATACAACACACTTAACTCAAAAGTCGAAGAAATATCATGATGGCTTCTTACGTTGTATGAGCAGTGGATCTATGACTAGGCAGGTCAAGCTCTACAGTCTACATCTCCTTCGGATTTTTACCCTTAGATAATACCAGCTATCTTGTTGCTGAATTAAACTTCAGCTCTTCCTTCCTTTATTAGTTGGTTTTCTTCTTCGTGATGTACACCTTTCTCAGTAGACTAGAGAAAAAAATTTGCCAGGATAAATATGGCTCAGATGATTCAAACCTTATTTGGGTCTTTTACCAGGTTTTCTTGTATGATATGAGCTGGAAACTTTTAGATAGTAGGTTCCTGAACAAAGCTGAAGAAGTAAGCCCTGGGGAGATGATGGAATTTCCTGGTCATTTGGTTGAAGTTGGCAACAGTGAAGCAAACCATGAATCTTTAAGGGATCTTAATGCATGTGGAAACAGCATCAATTCTCTTCACAAATTAAATATGCAAAAGCAGCAGCATAATGTTACTACCGTTAAATCTGCTGTAAAAAGGTACCTGGAATGCAGTTCAATTTTATCTGTTTGCTGGTGTTCTAAAAATTATTCATTTTTCCTGTTTAGTCTTTATACGGAGGTAATTTGCCTTAACTCCTGGCTTAAAGTCTTGAACTGCCAATAGATTGTCAACATTTTCTCCCTGATTGTTTATATTCCCATCTACCCAATAATTCAGCTGCTCTGCAATTGATGCTATTGGGGGATACTTCATACTTAGTAAAATGATATTCCAACACAATGTGATTCGTAGCTTTAAGAACACAAGTTCATGGGATGTTCACAATACGTGGGATGGTTTCCACAAGTCCTTGAACTTGCAGATGCCATTAGTCAATTCATTGTTTTTATGTGAAGTTAACACTTTCTTCATTGACCAGATAAAAAAAGATGACAATTGAAAATCTTCATTGTTATAATATTATCTCTTTCTTTTTTGTTAAGGAGCATGATTCTTCTCTTCATGTTTTGCATGATCTACAATAATTACCTGATTCTGTTTGTGATGCACTGAAACATGTATTCATTAGTACTCTTTCAGAAGAAAAAAATGGTCAGATGCATCAGAATGGGGCAAAGGAGAGCATATTTGATGCTGGAAACTCAAGTGTAACAGGTCAGATTTTGTTTATATGCATATTCAGTTTGCCACAAGTATTTACTAGTTGCCTGGTCTATACGTTTGTTGCATGTTCTTACGTGATCATGATCTGACAATTTTTTGGCTTATGAAATCAAAGTTTCCAGTTAGGAGACTTTTTTGCACTTGTCATAGGCAAAACATTATACTGCTTAACCTGGTGGATTCTTAAAATTTCTTAGATATGACAGAAATAAAAGCTTTACCTTATATGAAACTATCTATTGAGTTTTCGGCTTTGTGCTTCAGAGGTGGTCTGAGTACGTCCGTTCATTTGAAAAATCCATAATTCACCTTGTCTGGTTACGTTCTTGAGATTGTCCTAGCTCTAGCACCCTTATTTAAGTACTTAAGAATGAGTCATAAATAAGAGAACCTCATGCAAAAGAGGAGGGCAATGAACCGAGTTACATGGATTCCTCAGGATATTCCTTAATGGTTGTTACATTTCTAATGAATTTTTTCATTAAATAGCCAGTTGTTCGTTTACTTCCCGATAGATTTTCTAATGAAGTTTTCATTAACTAGCCTATTACGTTCTTGATATTGCTGTGTATTTACTGCCTCCTTTTAGCTTGAGGTTATGGTAATAACGAAATCAATAACAAGTTCATCATTATTCTTCAGTCGTTTCCAACACGCATGAGCATGTGAATGTTCTTTTGTGGGTGGTGTCCTCCCGTTATTTTGTGTTAGTTTAACTGAGCATGTCCGACTTGGAGATTAACACTTTCCTGTCATGTAGAATGGCAGGTTTTGTACACGACACAAGTAACTCAAAAGGCCAAGAAATACCATGATGGTTTTTTGCAGCTTGAAGTTCGCGGATCCCTAGGGAGGCAGGTCATTCTGAAGCACTTTCAAACATGTTTTCATCCTTAAGCCACTGTTCTTTAATTAAATTGGGCTGGCTACTTTGTTTGCTGATCCAACATGAATCACTTCATCTGTTTTTTGGAAAATGGTTTATTATGTGCCCCAAGTAGCACACTAATTCAAATGCATTTCACTACCCAAAAAAGTTAAAAGGCCTTAAGCACCCCTTCTGTATACGTCCTGGAATTACTTTTCTGCTCATTATTTTTTCGCCCTTGGATCATTCAGGTCACACTGTATGATGCTAGCAGGAAAGTCTTGGTGAATAAATTTCTTAGGAAAGCTCATTATTTTTTCGCCCTTGGATCATTCAGGTCACACTGTATGATGCTAGCAGGAAAGTCTTGGTGAATAAATTTCTTAGGAAAGACGAAGTGCTGGGAACTGGAAAATCACTGGTATTCGATTCTCACTTAGTTGATATTGAGGAACATGTAGTAGAAGAAAAGGTGCCGATGGGTTTGAATGATCGTGAACCATGTTGCGCCGCTGGAGAGATGTGGAAAGGCCATGGGGAGGGGAATGGTGTTAAAGTTGATCAATCCATCCTGGGAGGTTTGCAGCATTATTGATTCATCCTATGCTATTCAGATGTTTCAATAGCTTTATTGTCTATAGTTGTAGTTTTCCTTAATGCATCCTATCTGTTGTAGCTATGTCCTAGTGAAGTGCTGAAGAGGTTATATAGGTATATCTGTGGGTATTAAGATAGAGTTGTAGATGAAAATTTTGAGAGAATATCTTAAGAGAAAGTTGCTACCTCCCTAACCAAGGAAGCGGCACTTATTTGAGGTGGATTGTACACCTGATATGGTCACCTCAAGATGCTTCAGAAATGGAGCATCTAATTCTTTCTTCCCTTGATATTAACTCTATGTGCCCTTACCAAAAAAAAAAAAACTCTATGTGCCTCTATGATGTGATGCCTAACCCTTTATCTTTGGATGTTACAGTACTCTGGGGAAAACATGGAGACAAAACTCCAGGGAAGGTCCATCCAGCGAGAGAATTAGATTCAAACAGTGGAATATCTGGTATGAAAAGCACAGATTGCATCAAGAGAGTTCCCGAGACCAAGCCTCTACGTAATGGTGATTTCTCCATTGATCATGAGGATTCTCTTCTGCCTTTTGAAGTTACTATCTATCCCATGTGTAATTAGGTTTAGGCACAATGCAAATACAGTTATCTTATTCAGTTGCGTCGAATATTTTACAGTAAGCTTTGTAAAGCCCACAAATGGATAAATTGTTTCATGGACCTGCTCTAGAAAGAAGAATGTCATGCAATCAAGCTTGGGTTTGATCTTATAGATATTGATGCAGCACTGTCACTTTATTTTGCATTTCCTTCAAAGTCAACTCTCATGTTTGTTGGAGGAAACTGTGTTATGTTACTCCAACTTGCAAATGATCTCTTAATCCAATCGATGCAGCCTATCAAATATTATCTGTCCTCCGAAAACCATTAGATCAAGTTGCCATTGCGGAAAATTCACGTGAGAGGGAGGCAACTTTTGCTTCACTAACAAAGGAGCTTCAGCATTCAAATAATTCTTATGATGGTGCTCAAAGACAAAGAGCGCCAGCTGCTAAACTAGCTTCAGTGGAGAATGTGGACACTGGAAATTTAACTGATACCACTGGCAATGAAAAGTTGCCTGGTCTCATGAAGTCTAAAGGTTTATTTTAGTGTGATTTCACTCACTTTAGCATCTTTTAAATTTTGATGTTAGATTTCTCGTATTTTATGTTTCCTCATCTGACATTGTAAAATCTCATCAGACTCGGCCTCTGATTTCAATGAATTTTACTCTACGGTGGACTTTGGAATTGGCCACTCACAGGTATTTCACATCTACTTGTCCTATTCTATTCACAGTAATCAATTCTTTGAGCTCTATTTTGACCCGTTGGTGGCAAGGTTGTGACTCTGAGCATCTTGAAATTCCATTAGAACTTAGTGAGTTTTGATATTTTTGTTGAAACTCTTTGGTTACAAGCTGAAGGAAGTTAGCAGCAGATAGCTACTGCTTGTAGGGAATTTTCAAACTTGATGCATCAGGACCTACTTAAATTCTCTAATACATCCCAGTCCAAAATCTAGTTCTTTATTTACCTAGAGGTCATTCCTAATTTCACTGAGCTTTGTATGACTAGCATATACATCTGCTGCAATTATCCTTTACAGCCTTCTCACGAGCCAGCTGACCCCAAATGCTGTGGCAACAATCTAGCTTCAGAAGCTTCTCTTTCATGCGGTTCTCATGGTGATGCTGATGATGAAAAGACAACCCCCGAAGGAGATAGGGATCCATTGAAAGTGAAGGCCGAGTGTCCAAGTTTTGATCTTGGATTTTGAACCATGATCATTGCTCAGTCAACTATATTGCTACTGTCAAGAATCTGGATGGAGTGCTCAAGAATCTCGTGCCTATCACACGTGAAATATGTACAGTCGAGCTCTGGTTTTTTTTTTTTTTTGGTGTAAAATGTAAGTAGTATATAACAGATGATGTACAGCAGCTTAGGGGCATTCCCCGGCATTACAACTAGTACTAATAATTCGAGAATATGGAGGTAGGAAGTCTCCATAAAGTAGCTAAAACAAAGTTAGCTTGCGAAGGTTTGATTTTTTTGTATAGTGAAGCTCTACCTCTTACATTTTTCCGCACCTTCGCCAAAATAATCTGAATGTCAGTTGGATTGTTTTGAAACCGCCTATGGTTGCGCTCCATCCAAGTGCAATATACAGTCGCTAGGAAAGATACTTTGAGGAGTTTCGCTGCCAAATCTTTGCCTCTTGTTGCTCTAACCATCCATTGAAGCTCCTCATTCCATCCCCATACATTACGCCTAATCCCATGTTGCGCAAGAATATTACGCCAGATGCTACCTGTCCATTCGCATTGGAAGAAAAGGTGAGTCGTGTTCTCTATACTTGCCCTACAGAAGGTACATTGAACATCAACTGAAGTCATCCACCGTGATATGATCTCTGCTGTCGGAAGCCTATCCCTACATACTAGCCAACCAATAAAATTGTGTTTGCTAACGCCGCTACTCCATATTAAGTTATACCACTCCACAGCCGGACTCTCGTGTCTAAGTTCATCCAAGACATCATGACAACAATATCTTGGATTAGACATGACTGGGGTTAGGACATGACGTAGTTTGAGAAGACATCGCCAACTCCAGGCCATACTACCCTTCATGTCCATCTCGCAAAAAATGGGGTTCCTCTGCATTTTGTACTGTGGACCCAGGAGCTCCAAAGTGAAGAAGATGGATGATTGATAAGATTCCACATTGTGCGCCCTAATAACACTTTGTTCCATAGGTTCAAATCAGGCAATCCTAACCCTCCTTCCTTTTTGGGTGAGCATACTACACGCCATGCAACTTTGTACGATCCACGGTTTGTTGAAGACCCAACCCATAGGAAGTGGCGAATCTTTTTCTCAATCTCATAGATAGTTTGCTTCGGAAGAAGAAACATTTGCATCCAGTACGTGCAGATAGATATAAGGACCGATTTGGTTAGTTGTAACCGACCCGCATAACTCATATGCTTCATTCCCCAACTTTCAATTTTCTTGAATATCTTATCAGTAAGGCTTTTGCAATCTGAGTGGGTGAGTCTTTTAGTAATAAGAGGAACACCCAAGTACTTGATAGGGAGAGTACCTGCGGGAAAAGGCGTATGGTCCAATATAAGAAGCTTTTCCTCCTCATTTAACCCAGAGAAAAATATTTGGCATTTGTCAGGGTTAAACCGCAGTCCAGTGAGAGTAGCGAATTCTTCAAGAGCTTCTACCAGGCATAGAACAGAGTCTACATCTCCATGGGCAAATAAGAACAAGTCATCGGCGAAGCAAAGGTGTGTAATCCTTTGCGTTTTGCAGCGCCAATGGTATTTGAAGGAAGAACCAGCAACTTTTGCTCTTACAATTCTATTGAAAATTTCCATAACTAGAGCAAATAAATATGGAGAAAGAGGATCACCTTGTCTCAGCCCATTAGTGCTACTGAAATACCCTACCTGTTCGCCATTAAAATTTACTGAAAACCTCGGGGTAGTAATGCACTCACTTATCAATTCAACCAGATGTTGGGGTGTATTTAGAGCTTTTAGGACCCCGATGATCGAGCTCTGGTTTTTATGTGGACTGTTTTTGTGCCAAGTTCATTTTCAGTTGTCTGATCTGAAATACTTCTCAGCTATACGACATACTCAATGTATTTCCAGTCATCTTCTACATACTGAGGTACGCTATGTTTACGTAGCCAAATGGAAAGAGGCCACCCATGTTGATATGAGATACTGGTTAAAATTAAGACAAGTGAGCGCATGGTGAACAAGTTCAGCTGAGGAAGCAAATATAATGGTGTATGTACTGATGTCTTTAAATATTTAAAATGGCAGGGCAAAGTTGCATCATAGACAGTTCATTTGTAGAGAATGCTCGTTCGATTCCCATCGAGGAAGATGCTCAGTTTGGTTATGTAGCTAGATAACATGTTTTGTGCCATTGAATGTTACCCAGTTTCAGCTGAATGCAAAGGTAAAGCAGCCTATCATTAATTAATCAACAAGAGGAAACAGTGTCTCACTTTTCTAAACATTCTTTAATCTTTACCTTCTCTGTCAATAATAAACAGGCGAGAGTGAACTATAGACTATAGAGTGCAACGATCTTCCAAAGAAATACCCTGTAGAATTTTATCTGGACTTTCTTTTCATTCAGTTTCTTACTGTCATAAAATTATTCTCAAAAGCTTAAGCCAGCTTACAAATACAGCCGAGGTCACACTATGCAACGAAACTGAGATTTGGGTCTATCTGCTTTCCTCCATTCCCTGTTCTTGTTAGTTCTCGTCCAAGGACTTGCATAACTTGATGTCCTCTCTTGAATTCCGCATGCTAAGCAAGGCCCTGAAGAGACGTCTATTTTTGCTGGGAAAAAGTGCCAAAAAAGTCATAAACATTTTGCATTTGTGCCAATTTAGTCTTAAACCTGTTGCATTTATGCCAATTCAGTCCTAAACCTTTTTATGGTACCAATTCAGTCCTAAACTTTTTGTATTAATATCAATTCAGTCCTAAACTTTTTGTTTTTGTGCCAATTCAGTCCTTTCGATCAATTTTTGTCGGATTTTGCTGACGTGGATAACTTTAATAATATTTTAATATTTTTTTGAAATTTTATTTCTTTATTTCTTTTCTTTTTTCCCCCCTTCCCTCGTTCCTCCAGCCGGTCGCCGGTCCGGCGACCGGCCAGAGGCTAGACTAGAGGCCGGTGCCGGTGAGGGTGAGCCTCACTGGCCTATGGTCGATCGCCGTTCCGGCGATCGGTTGGAGGAAGGAGGGAGGGGAGGGGAAAAATAAATAAATAAATAAATAAAAATTCAAAAAAATATTAAAATATTATTGAAGTTGTCCACGTCAGCGCCAGTGATCGGCCGCTGGCCAGTCGGCGTCCACATCAGCAAAATTCAGCCAAAATTGGCTGAAAGGACTGAATTGGCACAAAAACAAAATGTTTAGGACTAAATTGGCACAAATACAAAAAGTTTAAGACTGAATTGGCACCATAAAAATGTTTAGGACTGAATTGGCACAAAAAAAGGGTTTATGACTAAATTGATACAAATACAAAAGGTTTAGGACTTTTTTTTGGCTCTTTTCCCGTTTTTGCTGGAATATAGCTCGATAACAGTTCTCCTATTCCCCTCAACATGAGTAGACATTGAAGTGGAACTATGGGGTTCCGATGGGTACTCGATGTTCATGTCGAAATGATTGGATCTTCTCTCCTCACCAAAACAGCTGCTTTCACGATGGTGTCTTCAACACCACAAGCGACGACTCTTATTTCGTTATAAATGCCTGCAATCAGTGTCTTTCGAGAAGCATCGAATTCGCTCCGCCTCCTCACGGCGCTCGGGAGGACTTTGCAATCTTCCATGGGCAAAAGTCGCCAGTTATCTCGACAGCGAGCGAAATAATAGATGCCCCCACTAATTTAAGTCCTCGAGAATGAGAGGGAAAATAAAACGAAGGATGTTCTATGATAAAAGAAGACATGGAATATTTATCGAGGATTCCCATAATAATCTATTTTAGCTATAAAATATTAGATTAGATAGCAACATTTAAAGGATTGCGATATAATCAATTTCAGTTAAAATTTTGTGGGAAACTGATTTTGTGTTTTTCATTGGAATTTGAGAAGATGACAGCACCGTAATATTACGAGAGTAGTAGGAACGGTGCCGTCTCCACCATGTAATTTCCAGACGAAACAGGGAGACTTGTTTGCCTGGTTTCCTTAGGATATTGAGAATCTCACTCAATGCAATATTTCTTGTTGGCAAATTCCACTGAGTTCTCTCTTAAATTTTTTTTATTTAGAAAAGGTTGGCCACAATGAAAACAAGGGAAAAAAAACAAAAAGAAAGAAAACGGTCAAAATTTAGATACTTTTAAAAGTATGAAACGATTTGTTTGTTCCAATTCAGTGTCATAGATTAACTTATTTACTTTTTATAGTATCAATCTTCCTATTGAACATTATGGGAAATTGTAAAATGAACTTGATCAAAAGCTATATTTGATTTTTTTTGGTCTATATAAAATTGATTTATTATGATCTTATAACTTATGGCCACAAAAAAGGACCATACAAAAAATTTATTTGCTATTTTTCTTTCTGTACGAGTTCAATATCCCGAGGCCATCTTAAAAATCACTCTGATAAGATTTTTTAAATTTCAACACAAAAGTCAATGGACTCCATAACATGTGTAAAGCAGACACAAATTCGATTTGTCCTACTGTCACAATACCGGTATCTACGATTAAATAATTTGTCCCAACATTGACAATAACACAATTTTCATCAATTAAACTTTTGTCAAACGAATTCCTTCGTTCGAAAAATATTAGAAAGGATCAGTTTGATCATCTTTATTTCAAGACGAGATAAATACATGAGTGATTACAATCAAAATTCTACGTTAGATATCTCTTATTTATGTTTCGAGAAAAATTAGGAGAGATTGACACTTTTTCTTTTGAAAGACAGAAAGATTAATATGAATTCAATGCGTAAATAAAGGGACTTTCGTTGTTATGTATGTAAAATGTGCCATAACAAAATGAGCGAAATCCCACAATCCACTATCTTTGCATAGCATAATTAGTTTCCGTCACCAGTGAATGATTGTGAATGCCGGTTGCCCTATCAATGTAAAAATGAAATGTGTTGGCTGCCGTTGCATTGCACCGTTACCAAATTAAAATAACCGTACAGAGTTATGCTAGCAACATCATTTCTTCAATTTCCACATCTCGCTGTTATCTGGGTGGGGCCCACCCTCCCTCTGACAACCCACAATGCCAATGCCCCCTTGTTCTCTCTCTCCGGACTGCTGGGGCCACCCACGACCACCCACGTCATCAATATCTCTCTCTCAGAAGCAGTGCTTCCGATACTCATGATAAACTTCTTCAGAACTGTCATAGGTGTGGACTCGTCGAGGTACCGCCTTCAATCTGGGACAATGGCTGATCCCCAGTCGAGAAAGATGAGGCATGGCTCCTTTAGCCACCCTCCACTCCTCCAAATTTCTCAAATTATCAAGAACTAAACGCTTGAGTTGAGGAAAGCCACCTGCAAAGCAAACCATTTCCTTTCCCTTAAAAGCATAAAATAGTACGAGAACAACCAAGTGATGCAATTTCTCCAATATTGGCATCGGATCTTCTTCCAGTTCGGAGTAAAACAAGAACAGCTTCCTCAGTTGCTGTGGTAGATTATTATGTTCCGGTAACTTCTCTATTTTTCCCAATATGGACAGTTTGCAGGAATGGGGATAGTTTGACATTTTACTCAATTCACCTTCCGTCAATGAAATATTAAAATTAAAGCATGAGAAATCAAAAGATAAGGATTCAAGATGTTTCAAATCGAATTTAGCAAGTTCTGGAATTTTCTCCAACTGGTCATCTGCATGGTCGATGGTGGCTAAAGTCAATTTTCGCAGATTGGTCAGTTTGCCTAGATCGTTCATGTCACAGTTCTTCAAATGGAAGTTTCTCAGCGTCTGTAAACTCTTTAAAGTGTCCAATTGCAACTTCTTCCGGTTCCCATAAAGTTTCTCTTCGATGGCAAATCGGTAGGGAAGATAGAGATGCCTCAACCTTCTCATCTTCCACAACACATTTGGCACAGTTACTCTTTGTCCCATACACAGGTCCAAGAATTCCATGCGTACAAGTTTCGCCATAGATTGCGGCAGGCCCTCGAACTTACTTCCTGCTAAACTTAGGTATCTTAAATGAACTAGGTCTCCCACTGCTTCAGGTAAATTTCCACTCATATTAATTAGGTGCTCTAGCTTTAGAACTCTGAGAAACTTATTGTTGATGCAAATAGGTCGAAATTGCTCCCACATCCCGTCAACAGATCCCCCAGAATAGAAGAACATAAGAGTTCGAAGGTGGAGCATGGTCCTTCCTATTTGTTCGACTCTCGAAAAGCTATTTCCTTTAGCACTCCCATGCATATTAAGAGAAAGCCTTCGTGTTTTGCAAGTTGACTCGCCTTCCATTCCGATTGAAGAAGAACGATCCTCCGTTTCATGGTCTTGCTTAATGTTAATAATGCTTAGAAATTGCTTAGCCTTAGGGATACATAACTCTCGCATCACGTCGTGGAGGTGACAGGTTTTTATCTTTCCACTCGATTTGAATTGTCCTTGAACCATCCCCCTTTTAACCAACTCCATTAAATATCGCTCTGCTATAACTTCCACTGTAATTTCTCCCCCTCCGCCATATGCAGTGGGCAACACAAAGCCTTCAGCAATCCACATGTGAAGAACCTTTTTTACAGGGATTTCTTCATCCTCTGGAAAGCTAGCCAAATAGAGGAAGCATGGCTTTAGATGCCATGGTAGATCGTCAAAGCTTAAGGCCAACACTTTTGATAGATCGTCATCATTGCTTAAATATGAATTGATGTTTCTATAAATCTTCTCCCACTCGTTGGCCGCTAGAAGTCCACCAAGCACTTTGACAGCCAAGGGTAATCCTCCACACTTCCTAAGGAGTTCATCTCCAAACGTCTTCATGTTTTCAGTGATTTCTACACGATATTAGGCAACAAATTACAACTCAGCAGTCATACGAAGATAAAACTATAATAAGAAAATAACTTCAGGGATGAATATATGTTGATATATATATAAGTAAGTTACTATATTTCTTTATTTTCGGTGATTCATTTATGCTTATGTAAGGGGAAAGACTATAGGGACCACAGCAAAGTTCCTATACATGCCTCCACCTACACCTGGAAGATCAAGAACCTTAAATTAACAAATGGAATATATTGGCTTTGCTATTTGTGGCTTGAAATGGCTCGAGTAAATGTATAGCAACAAGAATCTACTGGATGAAGAAAAACAAAAACAGTAGAGATAACCTTGAGTGTGCTAGTAATGATATGTGATTTGAGTGTGCTAGTAATCTTCACTGTCGCAGCAAATTCTAGTGAAAAAATTATGTTGCCGCTCTATTAGAGTATAACAATTAATGATTTTCCTAACAATCCCAACTCTTAATTTTGGACAACTATTCACAAATACAAACAAGGTGGACCTGAGATGAAGCCCATGGAAGAAGGAACATAGCTAGGCTCCACATTATTTCCATGATTTCCTATCAAAATAACTTATTATGTTGGCCATATAAAAGCCTCTTTGATATTTTCCCTCATCAGAGGAAAGGAGGATCAAAGTTTTGGATGTTTGTTTAGAGGTACAATTGCTAGCTATTAAGAAACAAAAGCGGCATCTCATTCCCCAAATATCAAGATTTCGAGGCCTAGTACTCCATATATCAATCATTCAAACTCCGTAATAACTGTCAATCCATAAATTGTTGAACTTTCTAAATGGCCAAACTAAGTAATGACGTACCTTGTCCTTGTCCCTCCGTCTCTGACCGTCTTGTAATACCTTCTACAGCTTGGCTTACAACAGTCGCTTGACCAACTCCTTGTCCAACGGAAGAAGGTCCAATATCTAACCCTACGGAAGCGCCACAAATCAGAATGGAACAAGCAATATAATCTCTTAAAGCTACTGTATGTGAGGATAATAACCTTAGAGAAACCTTACTTTTCGTTTCAGGAAACACCCTCTTCATTAGCAGCTTCCAACTCTCCTGGTTTGATAAGCACATAGGTTTATGGAGAAAACCATGAGAATCAATATACTCCGCTACTTCTCTATTGCGGGTTGTTATCAATAGCTTGCTTCTCGTGTTCTTGATTGGGAACGCGGCTCGAATAGCTTTCCAATCCTCTTTTGTCCAAATATCATCAAGAAACACGATACATCTCTTCTCTTGTTGGATCTTGTATAAAGTTTCGAACAATTCTTCCTCTCTCATATGCATAACCCCTTCTTTTTTATCAGGGATCAACTTTTCAAAAATTCCCACCAAGATCTCTCTCACATGGAAATTTTTAGATATGCAAGCCGAAGCGAAACCATGGAAATTGCTCTTCACTTCATTATGAGCGAAGACTTTTTTAGCAAGTGTGGTCTTACCCAAACCACCCATTCCCCATATAGAAACAACTCTATTATGTTTTCCATCCTTCAGCGCTTTCACCAACACCTTAATACTATCTTCCCTCCCAACAATATCCTCCTCGAAATAGGCATAACTACGTTCTGGCATCAAAGCTCTCGTCTGTTTGCGTTCGCTATCATTCACAGGTTGTATGCCATAGACCTGCATCTTTGCTCTAAGATCAGAGATGCTGGATTTTAAGCCCTTAATATCTCTCCCCACCACATGAACATGCAAGCACATGCACTTCGCTATGAAGCAAGCATATGCTTTGATGATGTTTTGTCCCTTCTTCCGTGCAACTCTGAGGATGTATCTCTCTATTACATCCTCGGCATCATAGGCAATGTCTCGGAGTTGCGCGATCCATACTCCAACGGCTTGTTCACGCTCTTGTCTCGCGTCTGCATCCCTCATAAAGCCCTGAATCAGCTCCATCTCCTTTTGCAAGTCCTTGACCGTGCCCTCCACGCCCCACAAGAGTTTGGCCTCGTCGATGAGCAGCTTTCCTATTGTCTGCCCCACGGACAAAACAACATACTCGGCCATTGGTATCACCCTACTTGACTATGAGCAGTGGAGCTTATGATTAAGAATGACTTGAGAATTCACTTCTGATGCGTTAACAAGCTGGGGACATATAGGCCTGCGATTTGCAAAGAAGAGAGAAGAGGAATAAGTACTTAGAAAGTTGCATATTGTATTGATAATACATAGTCTACATCCACGAGTGCAAGAAAATCACCCCACGAATGACTTGAGGCTTACTTGGTCTCGAAGCTTGCCAACTTTTCTTCAAAGTGTAGCGAGCTGGTATTATGTCTATTCTTTTTCTCTTGGAGTTGCAACAAGCATCAGCTTCAATTTTTTTTTTCTGTAAATTGTGCCTTGAACCTGCACACCACAAAAAGAAGAAGTCCCCAGGTTCTGGCCCATTAAGAATTCTCCGATGCTTAAATTAGCATGGGACTAGAGAGAGTAAGTTATGGAATTTATAGAGGGAGAGGAAGCATACTATTGGTGTGGCTTACTCCTGCATTTATCGAGAATTAGGCGGGCAGCATGCGATTTTTTAAGCTTTCGGCCTTAGCCCCCTTAGGAGAGGCTTCATGGTGGGGTCCGTCTGGGAACCTATGTTGATTATGGATTTGTTTGTAAGCAGGGTACCCGGTTAAATCTGTTGTAAGTAAAGCAAAATTTGTCAAAAGCTTGCTCATAGTGAGATTGTCTTATGGGGAAAAATTGGAACAAAAGTTTGTCATCATAAGTTTGCCTAAAGTATGTTTTACTTGAGCAAGCTTTACATATTAAATTACACCCATCTAACAAGCATGTAAAAATTTCAATTACAAATAGCTACATCAATATGACATCTTATGATTGAAAAGAAATCGAAATTATTTAGTTATCTATGAGGCCAGTTTTGTACAAACGTGATGTTCTTGCACATGTAAGTACATGAAAAAAAAAATAGATACAAATGAAGAAGAGAATCAAATTCCTTTATCTGAATGTGTGTTTTATACGTGATTATGTTATCCTATTTATAAAGAACATGTGCTTTTCATAAGTTAAAAAAAAAACGTACCAGAACAAACAAACAAAAAAGTTTGGAATTATATTAGATCCATTATCAGAGTGAGAATTGATTTTGGATATTTACAATTGCATGATTGACATGTGGAAGAATTAGATTACATTATTATCTTCGAAGTGTGTGGAAATTTTGTTGCGAACCTAATAATAGCCCAAAAACTTTTAGCCCAGTCCAAGAGGATTGCATGTCTAGCCCCACATCTCACATATTCATACTTCGGCTCCCCGACATAACTAGTGAAGCTATCAAATGCAGTCTCGCTGCTCTTGAAATCCCTAGAAATTCAAATCTCAAATGCATGACAATGGAACCTGTGAAGAAATGGAACATCACCTTCGCGAAGCACCTGCAGTAGGACCGCAAGGTCTATCGTGACGACTTTCTCTCCCTCCACGCTTCCACTGGTAAGGTCCGTGCCTTTCTCACTAGTCACCACTTAATCGGTAAACAGAGCTTCTTCATGTCATCAAAAGAGAAAACTATATTTCCCTCAGTTGCTTCCCAAGCAAACACCCCTCATCAATCTCACTCGGTCAAAACATATACGTCTCAAGCGAAAAATCGATCTTCTTATCTTTCTCTTATAAGTAATCTTTCAAGCAAAAAAGTCGATACTCAAAATTCTAAATCAACAAAATACCGATGCGTTGACCACAACAATACTAAAAAAAAAAAAAAAATACTAAAATGCACAAAAACTAGATAAAAAAAGGGTCAATTCAACTGGGAGAAGAGCCACTCACTAGCTTAACCGCGACTTCCTCGTTCGTCTGAATATTATTAGTACCTGCAAGTAATTAGCGAAAAACTTCAATCAGAATCAAACTAAAAGCAGAACGGATAGAGCAAAAACCAAATATCAGTTAGTGAGCAATAAACCCAGGTAGATCTCTCCGAACGATCTGTTACCGATCTTACCACCGAGCCGGAACTTGTTGCCGACGCGTGGCTCCACCAGAGAGTGAATTTCAAAACCCCTGCTACGAAGGGAAGAACCGTAGCTATGCACGCTCTTATACATAAGACTATAGGAGAGACTTCATCGCCATCAAACCGCGAATATCGAGCCAGTGACGAAGAGAGAGTGTGTGTTGGTCACTACTAATCGACATTTTTATATGATGGCAAGCAGCTGATGGAAATTTTATAACTCAAGTGTCGGATCGATACAAATTTTAAGAATCTTACCGTAATTGTCCCGTGCAAAGTTTGACTCAATTGCTTTGTGAGCTTTTAACCCCACCTAAAATTTGTTACTCTATGAAAACTTGAAATGCCCGAAGTGGAATAAAGGCCGACACAAAAATCATTTTATAGTTTTACAATAAGTATCAAAAGGCCAAAAAATAATAATTAAAAAAAAGACAATAAAGAAGTAAAAATGCCGCCAGAAGGCAGAAATAACGCAGCGGTTCAGTAGCTCCCATCTATTAATCTCTGATATTAGTTCTAGAGCTAGTTCAGAAGAAGCTAGCTCCTAAAAGAAAAAAAGGAGAAAGATGCTGTCTTATCCTTTGATCTAGTTGCTTATAAATTTGATTTGGCTTGTGCTGATGACAAGTTAGAAAGATCATTCTCCATCGCCATTCCCCAACTCTTGGAGCTTTGAGCAGTACTGGTAACTAAGTTGCCAAACAAAGATCATTCTCTATAACGAAGATTATGAAGAATCGTCTGCGCATTCAATTGAGTGGAGGATCATTTGATGATGAATAATTACCTTGGTAGCTCTTTATTGAGAAAGATGTACTTGATAATATAGAAATGAAAGAATGAAGTAATGCATTGAAAACATGGAAACAAGTCGAGGACGATTAAAAACTGTGTGTTGCTTCTTTCGATATTCTTCTGAATGTATTTTTCAATCTTTGCTCTCGGTCACACACATTAAGGTTCGGCTCTTAAGTAGTTATGTGGGCTGTCAAGATAAATCATGTACTCTATCGGCTGATGGCGATATACAAAGAAATCGATCACACAAGCCGAAAGCAACAGGCCGATTTCAGTTGTAAGCAGGGTACCTGGTTAAATATGTTGTAAGTAAAGCAAAATTTGTCAAAGTATGGGGAAAAATTGGAACAAAAGTTTGTCATCATAAATTTGCCTGAAGTATGTTTTACTTGAGCAAAAATTCACATATTAAATCACACCCATCTAATAATCATGTAAAAAAATTTCGACCAAAAAACAAATCATGTAGAAATTTCGATTACAATTTGCTACATTCAATATGACATCTTATGATTGAGAAGAAACCGAAAGTATTTAGCTATACGAGGTCAGTTTTGCATAAACATGATGTTCTTGAACATATAATTACCTGAAAAAAAATAGATACAAAATAAGAAGAAAATCAAATCACTTTATCTGAATGTGTGTTTTATACGTGCTTTGTGCTTTTCATAAGGTCAAAAAACGTAGTAGAAGAAACAAAAAAGAGAGTTTGGACTCTTGTTAAATCTATTATCAGATTGAGAATTGATTTAAACATTCACCGTTGAGTGATTTGCATGTGGAAAAACCCGATTACATTATTATCTTCAAAGTGTGTAGAAATCTTGTTACGAATCTAATAATTGTCCAAAAACTTTTAGCCCATCTCAAGAGGATTGTAGGTCTAACCCCACATCTCAAATTTCATAATTTTTTGGCTTCCACCATAACTAGTAAAGCTATCAAATGCATTCGCACAGCTCTTGAAATTCCTAGAAATTCAAATCCCAGATGCATGACCATGGAAGTTGTGAAGAAACGGAGCATCCGAAGGAGGACAACAAGGTCTATTGCGACGGCTTTCTCTCTCTCTACGCCTCCACCAGTAACGCACGTGCGTTTCTCACTAGTCCCTACTTAATTGTTAAACAGAGCTTACTCATGTCATCAAAAGGGAATACTATAGTTGCCTCAGTGGCTTCCCTAGCAACGACCCCCTCATTGATCTCAGTCAGTCGAAAGCGTACATGTTCCAACCAAAACATGGATCCTTTTATCTTTCTCTCATAAGTAATCTTTCACACAAAGAACCGATACTCAACAAGGGACAAGGATCACTGACTTGTCGAAAAAAATGGATCTTCTTATCTTTCTCTTATAAGTAATCTTTCAGGCAAAGAACCGATACTCGATAAGGGACAATGATCACTGACTAGTAAAAAAAAGTTAAGACATGCACCGTAAAAGTTGATACTTGGGCTTACAATCATGTTATACCAGAAGCACAGCACGAATTCAAGCATCCCAACTCTGAACGTAAATACACATGCATGTGAAAGCCGCAAACCGTGTAAAGCTTCCACTTGTTAACAAAATTCATTCTCAACTATAACAGTTAGCACCGCCGACTTGCTGGAAGCAAGTGAACCCCCGATATCTATGCTTGTCAAACAACCCAAGAGAAAAACAGAACAGAGCACAATCCACATCGCCTAATAATTCGTAAAACATACAATTTCCAAATCAACAAAATACCGATGCGATTACTACAAAAATCCTTTAAAAAAAAACTAGAACGCACAGAAACTAGAAAAAAAAAAAAGGTCAATTTGACTGGGAATAGAGCCACTCACAAGCTTAGCTGCGACTCCCTCGTTCCTTTGAATAATAAATAGTACCTGCAAATAATTCGCAAAAAACCTCAATCAGAATCAAACTAGAAGCAGAACGTATTAAGCAAAAACCGAGTATCAGTTAGCGAGCAACCCACCGAGGTAGATCTCTCCTTAGGATTCGCTACTGATCCGACGAATGAGCCGGAGCTCGTTCCTGGGATCAACTGGAAACAACAATTCAGCTTTATTATCGTTCAGCAATAATACTGGGCTTGGGTCAATGAGCTCATCGCTCTCTGCAGCTAACTAAATATAGGCAATGGCGTAGAGGTAATGGCACACGGGCTAATTAGCCATAATCTTTGTCTTATGTGCCGTCAAAAGATTGGTTTCGCATGGTCTAATAGCTATAATTCAGCATCATACTTCCGTTTTTTCTCGTCCCTTCAATCAATACAAGTTGGAGATGCCGATTGGTCTTCTCCTTCATCGCAGCCTTTCTTTTTCCTATGTCGTTGTTCATGTAAATGCGCGAATTGAACGATTCAAACCAAAGGCAACATGTGGCTCTTATTTCATGCGCTCGAACACTGTCTCAATCCACATGCCCATTTTATCAAACATGTGACCAGCACTTGAAAATGCAAGAGTATTCCCTCCTTTGGTTTAGCATTGACTTTGACGGTGACTCTGCCACGACTCTCATTTCGTCTTGTCCTCGCATCAGCGTCTTTCGAGAAGCATTGGGTTTCGCCTCCTCTCGCATGCCCTTCGCTTGTCCCTAGGGAAATAGTACAAAAATTCCTAAACTTATTGCACATTTACCAATTCAATCCTAAACCTTTTAATTTTGCCAATTCAGTCCTTAAGCTTTTTTACGTTTTGTCAATTGAGTCCATCTGATTAATTTTGATCGAAAATAGCTGACGTGAACGCTGGCTGTCATATGGGGCACTTCTACAGGTCTTTTCTCGTCCCTTCAATCAATACAAGTTGGAGATGCCGATTGGTCTTTGTCTTAATCGCGGTTTTCCTTTTTCCTACGTCGTTGTTCATGTAAATGCGAGAATTGAACGATTCAAACCGAAGGCAACGTGTGGCTTTTATTTCATGCGCTCGAACACTGTCTCAATCCACATGGACATTTTGTCAAACATGTGGCCAACACTTGAAAATGCAAGGGTGTTCCCTCCTTTGGTTTAGCATTAACTTTGACGATGACTCTGCGACGACTCTAATTTCATCTTGTCTCGCATCAGCATCATTCGAGAAGCATTGGATTTCGCCTCCTCTGGCATGGCCTGCGCTTGTCCTCAGGGAAATTGTCCAAAAATTCCTAAACTTATTGCACATTTGCTAATTCAGTCCTAAACCTTTTAATTTTGTCAATTGAGTCATTAACCTTTTTCATGTGTTGCCAATTGAGTTTATCTGGCCAATTTTGGCCGAAAATCGCTGATGTGAATGCCAACTATCCTATAGGGCACGGCTATAGGTCTTTTCTCGTCCCTTCAATCAATACAAGTTGGAGATGCCGATTGGTCTTTTTCTTAATTGCGGTTTTACTTTTTCCTACTTCGTTGTTCATGTAAATGTGAGAATTGAATGATTCAAACCGAAGGCAACATGGGGCTCTTATTTCGCCCGCTCGAACACGGTCTCGGTCCACATGGCCATTTTGTCAAACATGTGGCCAGCACTTGAAAATGCAAGGGTGTTCCCTCCTTTGGTTTAGCATTAACTTTGATGATGACTTTGCGACGACTCTCATTTCGACTTGTCTCGCATCAGCATCTTTCGAGAACCATTGGATTTCGCCTCCTCTCGCATGCCCTTTGCTTGTCCTCGGGGAAATTATCCAAAAATTCCTAAACCTACTACACCTTTACCAATTCTGTCACTGTGGTGCGGCCGACGCTGATATGGATAATTTTTAATAATATTTTAATATTTTTTTGAATTTTTTATATATATTTTTGAATTTTTAATAATAAAATAAGAAAAGGAAAAAGGAAAAGGGAAAAATAAAAAATTAATAAAAATTCGAATAAAAAATTTAAAATATTATAACAAATTGTTTACATTAGCGCCACCCTTCTTATGGACATGACCTATAGGATAGCCGGCGTCCATGTCAATGATTTTGGACCAAAATTGGGTAGATTGACTCAAGTGGCTTGTCAAGCCACCCATAGGTATAGACCCCATGTCCGAGTTGTCACAATTTTTTAGAGTTAGGGCTGAGGCGGTAAGGAAGGTTGTTAAAGCTAATTGTTACGCGTGCCCATTCTCGTTTTTGGCCGAGTGCTTTTCAAATCAACCGACGGCTCAAAAGAGTAGGTTTTTCATTTTAGCATTTGTCGGGCTCATCATTTTTCCTCATCGTAAGAATGCCATAAATCCTTCAATTGCTTGGGTGGTCAAACACATGTGTGCCAGATTAAACTATGTCAACATGATTTTAGCCGAAACATTTTTGTCTCTTAATCGTTTTAAACAAAACAGAGAAAAAATCACGCGAGCTTCCCCAGAAATTTTGCAAATATGGTTTCTTTCTCACATAAGAGGATTTTGGCACCTTAT